TTCTACCGGGAGTCTTGATCAATGGCATCCATGGCAGATTCTTTCAAAGAATCGAATATGAGGGACTCACAAACTTCTATTTCGATTGTGGTTCGGTTGGCCATGCCAGGGGGAGTTGCCACACCAATAGTCCTATTAAAGACAATTCGGCCAAGCAAGACCAAGTTTCACAGCTCACCAAGGCTCTACCCAAAGGGCTTGCCGTGATAGACCCCCCACCAAAACTGAGCCAGCCAGCTCAGGACGGCCTCCATGGCTATGTGGATCATGAAGAGGGTTCTCTTGGTTCTTGGAACTTAGTAACTCGTAGGAGGAGGAACAAACCGAGAGCCCTATTGAGCAGCCAACCAATAATCAGAAGGTGTCTGAGCCTATTCCCACCTCGCAACCCTCTCATGTTGAAGCTCAACACCTTGAAGAGATTTCTAACAGAATTGTCAACCCAAAAGGCCATTCTCTTAAGGACCAGAGGATTGTTTTTAATGTGGAGCGAACAAATCAACGTGGCCCTTCATCAATTGTTAATCTTTCCAAAAGGCAACACAAGGCACCCAAGTCCTTTTTAGAGAAGCAGCTTATAAAATTGGGACCTATTGCAACGTTGCCGAGGAAGCGGAGGAAGAACCAACATGATGGCATTGGCGGGGACTTTGTCCCCTTTGGTGAACAATGAGGCCTCCCCTAGTTACATGTCCGCAGGAGCATTATGGACTTATACTGCTGCTGGAGCAATGGGATATCATCCAACCTTCGGGCTGTTTTAAACTACTTTATGGTATCTCCGGAGTTGTTTTATGAGCAGATGATCCCCTGGGCATGTTATTGGGGTTGGCCACTTTGCGAACCAAAGGGGCTCTACCTTCCTGTTTTTCTTGCTTTTGTTTTGAGATGTCTCTCATGTATGGAGTTTGAGTTCACCAGTTTAGCTCTTCCCACTTTTGTTTTTTTGTCTTGGGAAGACTTAGTTTGTTGCTCCATACTTATTTTGCACTTTCCAATTTATTAATGCAAATGCAATGTTCAAGTCTACCTCCCTCTCTCTCTCTCTCCCTCCCTCTTACTCTTTGCCCCCCTCTCTCTCCCCCCACACACACTCTCTCTCTCTAAATCTCTCTCTCTCTCTCTCTTTCATTCTCTCTCTTTCTCTCTCTCCCTCACTCCCTTTCTCTCTCACTCCATTCCTCCAACTCTCTCTCTCTCTCTCTAAATCTCTATCTCTCTCTCTCTCTCTCTCTCTCTTTCTCTCTCTCTCTCTCGCTCACAATCTTCTCTCTCTCTCTATCTATCTATCTCTCTCCCTCTCTCTCTCTCCCTATCCCTCTTCATCTCCATCCCTCTACCTCTCTCTCTCTCTCTCTCTCTCTCCGCCCCCCTCTCTCTCCCCCGACTCTCTCTCTATCTTTCTCTAAATCTCTCTCTCTCACACACTCCATTCCTCCCACTCTCTTTCTCTCTCTCTCTCACACACAATTCTCTCTCTCTCTCACTCCCTCTCACTCTTTCCATTCCTATGTTGCCTCTCTCTCTCATTCTCTCTCTCTATCTCTCTCTCTCTCTCTCTCTCTCTCACTCTCCATCTCCCCCCTCTACCTCCCTCCTCTCCCTCTCTCTCTCTCTCTCTCTCTCTCTCTCTCTCTCTCTTCCTCTCACTCTCTTCCCCCTCTCTCTCCCCCACTCTCTCTCCCTCTCTCTCAATCTCTCTCTCTATTCTTCTCTCTCACTCCGTCCCTCTATCTCACTCTCTCTCTCTCTCTTTCCATTCCTCTATCGCATCTCTTTCTCTCTCTCTCTCTCTCCTTTCCAATATTACTTCTCTCTCTCAATCTCTCTCTCTCTCTCTCTCTCTCTCTCTCTCTCTCTCTCTCTCTCTCTCTCTCTCTCGCTCGCTCTCTCTCTCCCACTCTCCCTCTCTCTCTCCCTCTCACTCACTCTCTCATTGCATTCCTTTATTGCCTCTCACTCTCTCTTTCCATTCCTCTATTACTTCTCTTTCTCTCTTTCTCCTTCTCTCTCTCTCTCTATATATATGTCTCTCTCTCTCTCTCTCTCTGTCTATCTCTCTCTCTCTCTCTCTCTCTTTCTCTCTCTCTCTCTCGCTCACAATCTTCTCTCTCTCTCCCTCTCTCTCTCTCTCTCTCCCTCTCTCTCTCTCTCCCTCTCTGAAGATGTTCCAAAAGGTCTTATTTGTTCATACATATAGAAAGTTCAATAGAGCAGCCCACTTTTGTGCACAGAGGGCAGTGGATAGTTCTTTTTCTTGGGACATAGGAGATAGAGACATTCCTCAAGAGTTTTTAGAAATCCTTGAGGAGGATAGTTACTTTTCTTTTTCTAGAATGCCAAATGGGCATTAGTTTTTATTTGATAGTTTGTAATAGCTTTTTTAGATGAATGCAAATGCAGAAGTTCAGCTCTCTCTCTCTCTCTCTCCTTCCCCTCTCCCTCCCTCTCTCTCTCTCTGTATGTTTAACTCTTTCACTCTCTATCTACATCTCTCTCTCTCCCTCTCTCTCTTTACATTCCTCTCTCTCTCTCCCTCCCTCCCTTTCTCTGTCTATCTCTATCTCTCCCTCCCTCTCTCTAACCATTCTGCTCTCTCTCTCTCTCTCCCTCTCTCTCTTTCCGTTCTTCTATTGTATCTCTCTCTCTCTCCATTCCTCTATTGCTTCTATCTCTTTTTTCTCTCTCTCAATCTCTCTCTCTCTCTCCATTCCTCTATTGCTTTTCTATCTTTCCATCTCTCTCTATCTCTCTCTCTTCTCTCTCTTTCCATTCAACTATTGCCTCTCTCTCTCTCTATCACTCTCTCTCTCCCTCTCTTTCTCTCTCCCTCTCTCTCTCCCTTGCTCTCTCCCTCCCTCTCTCTCTCACTCTCTATTTCTCTTTCTCTCTATTTCTCTCTCTCTCTCCCTCCCTCTCTCTCTCTCTCTCTCTCTCTCTTCTCTATTTATTTCTCTCTCTCTCTCTCCCTCCCTCTCTCTCTCCCTCCATATCTCCCTCTCTCTGTATATCTCTCAATCTCTCTCTCTCTCTTCCTCACTCTTTCCAATCCTCTCACTCACTCTCTCTCTCTTTCTCTCCCCATAACTCTATTGCTTCACTCTCTCTATCTCTCTATCTCTCTATCTCTCTCTCTCTCTCTCTCTCTCTCTCTCTCTCTCTCTCTCTATCTCCCCCCCTCTCTCTCTCACTCTCCCTCTCCCTCTCAATCTCCCTCCCTCTACCTCTCCGTCTCTCTCTGCCCCCCTCTCTCTCCCCCACTCTCTCCCCCTCTCTCTCAATCTATCTCTCCCTTTCTTTCTCTCTCTCTTTCTCTCTCTCTCTCTCTCACTCTCTTTCTCTCTCATTCCATTCCCTAACTCTCTCTCTCTCTCTCTTTGTCTCTCTCTATCCTTCTCTCACTGGGAGTATGCCAGGGTCTGCGTGCGGATGAACCTGGCTATTCAGCTATTGACTGGCATCTGGATTGAAGTCCTTAATGGCTAGTTCTACCAGAAAGTAGAATATGAAGGCATTGGTTTATTATGTTATGGCTGTGGACGTGTTGGCCATCGCAGAGACGTCTGCCCCTCTAAGCCGTTGGCTCAACCTACCACCTTGGGTAAGAAACCGATTGATCCCCGGGATTCGGTGGTGGATAGCAATCGTGATCGCTTGGGTGGTTGGCAGTGTGCTGCCAACCATTCCAAGTTGCCCAAGCCGAATGGATCTGCTCCGGTGGCCTCTCAGTCTTCTCCGGAGTCCTCCTCTACTATGGAGGCCGTCCTGGACCACGTTCCTGATTTTAACCCCCAGTTGGGGGAGAAGAATGGGGAGAATTCTGAGGATCCTTTGGGGCCTTGGCTTTTAGTTCCGCCACGTCGCCGCAAGAACGTGAACCTCCTCTCCGGAGCAGGGCGAGCAACGGTAATTCGGCTCTGGGCAAGCCTCCGAAGCAGGTTGATCTGGACAAGATTACTGCGCCTATCAACGTGACCAAGCCGACCAGAAAACAATCCCGAATGGGTATCAATCAGCCTCTGCTCTTCTCGGCGGGTACTAAGGCTGGAGTGTCTTTGACTAATCGATTCAATGCTGGGCTAGTCTTTAGCCAGGGTGCGCTTGACTTTGAACTCCCTCGTAAACGCAAAAAAAGAAATTCTGGATGGAACTAGCGGCGGGGACGCTTCCCCTATGGTTGATCCATGACGTCCATCATCTTTTGGAATTGTAGGGGGGCCCGTAAGAAACAAACTGGGCACTTCCTCTGTAGCCTCATTGGTAATAACGAGGTTCTATTTGTTAGTCTATTAGAAACTAAAATTGAAGTGATCTCTCGCTCTGATGTTGATGGCCTTATTGGGCCTTGTTGGGATTTCATCCACCACCCGGCCAGAGGTACTTCGGGTGGCTTACTGGCGCTTTGGAGAAGGGACGTTGTCCAATTCGTTGCCTTTAGAATGATGGATCAGGCCCTTGTTGGCCACTTGGTTCTTCCGAACCTCCAACGGTGGTGCCTGGCTCTTGTTTATGGTGGCATGGACTACCATACCAGACGTAGTCTCTGGGATACGCTGGGGTTGAGCATGGATGCGGACCTCCCGGTTATGGTGGAAGGCGACATCAATTGCTATCTCGATCAAAGGGAAAATAAAGGTGGTCGTAGATTTGGCTTTCCTATGAGGGCGCAGGAAATGGCTGCTTTCATGAGTGCTAATGACCTCCACGATCTGGGGTTCACGGGACCTAAATTTACTTGGTCTAATAATAAGGCGGGCTCTAGTAAAATTTGGGTGCGACTGGACCGGATCCTGATGAACTCTGCTGGTCTTGACTTGGCCCCGTTGGCTACGGTCAAACACCTGATTCGGCTCGCCTCGGATCACTGTTCGCTCCTTCTGCAGCTACTGGAGTCCCTCCCGAACCGACCCAGCAAATGGATTAGATTTGAAGATACTTGGCGGACTTATCCGGCCACTTGGAAACTTGTGTGAAAAAATTGGTCTAAGCCTGATCATGGGATGCCTGCTGATGTGCTTAACCGAAAGTGCTCCAGAACGTTGCGGGCTCTCTCTTTTTGGAGTCGCAATCACTTACAGGACCTGGGAATTCTGAAGAAGTCTCTTGAGGACCGGTTGGCTGAGCTTCAGCTGATTGATTGCTCTGAGGTTGGCCTCTCTGCGGAGGAGGATCATGAATTGCGAATGAAGGCTTACGAACTGAATGCTACGCTTGCTCGGATGGCGACCTGGTGGAGGCAACGGGCGAAAACCCGGTGGATTGCAGAGGGCGATTCTAACTCCCATTTTTTCCATTCTTTTGCTACAGCCAGGCGACGGGGCAACCGTATTGTTGAAATCCTGCGCCCCAATGGGGAGCGTGCCTCTGAACCTGCTGCCATTCAGGATGAGTTTATGAATTTTTTCTCTCTTAAGTGGCAGGAAAGATGTATCTCCTTGGAAGACTGGCCGAATCTCTGGCTGGAGAATTTCGTCCAGGACACCTTACAAGGGGATATGGAGGCCGAGGTCACTGAGCTAGAGATCCGTCAAGCTATTTTCAGCATGGAGAAAAACCGATCGCCGGGTCTGGATGGTATTACTGTTTCCTTCCTTAAATTTTATTGGGATATCATTAAGGTCGATGTTTACCGTGCTATTCTACATTTTTTCGAATCTAATTCAATGTGTGATAGCTGGAAAGACACGTTGGTTGTGCTCATTCCTAAGGTGGCTAATGCTAATTCTCCATCTAAATTCCGTCCTATTAGTCTCTGTCAGTCTTTTTACAAGGTGGTGGCTAAAGTCCTCATCAATCGTGTCAAGCCGAGCCTGGGGAACATCATCAGCGAGGAGCAAGGTGGTTTTGTCCCGGGGAGATCCATTTCTAATCATGCTCTTCTGGCTCAAGAGGTGATTCATAAATTCCAACACTCGCTCCAACGTGTGGGTATGATGGCATTGAAGATTGACATGGAGCAGGCATATGACTGTATGGCTTGGGACACTTTGAGACAGATTATGTCCAGGATGGGCTTCCCGACTCGGGTTATTCTTTGGGTTACTCGATGTGTAACTCAACCTCGCTTTACTTTGATGATTAACGGAAATAGGACTCCATGGATTGCTGCACAGTGTGGCCTCCGCCAGGGTTGCCCGTTATCCCCCTATCTTTTTATTCTTTGCTCCGAGCTACTGTCTTTGGCCTTTAAGCATAGAGGCGGGAACCTGGGTATTCCCCTTGGCAAAAATCCGGTTATCATTTCGCATTTACTCTATGATGACGATATCCTTGTGTTTGCTGAGGCCAACCGCTGCAATGCCAACCGTATTTTGAGCATCCTTGCGGATTACTACCGCTGGACTGGCCAGCGCGTGAACGAGAACAAGTCGGTGGTGATTTTCAATAAGCATTGCCCCAGATGGAAGCAGCGGACATTCTCCCAGCTTTTGAATTTCCGTAGGGTGGATTCTCTGGACTACTTGGGAATTCCCTTGGTTATGAGGAGGTTGATGGCTGCTGATTTTGCTAAGATTATTGGTAATGCCCATGAGAAAACGAACGTGTGGGGGAAAAAACATCTCTCGTATGCAGGTAGAGCGCTGTTGATTCGCACTGCCTTGCTTACCATTCCTGGTTACCTATTAGCCCACTCGGAGGTGCCGAGCAGTGTTCTCAACTCGATTGAAAAGCTGGGCCGTCAGCTTTTATGGCAGAAAGACTCAAACAGCAAGGGGATGCACTATGTTTGCTGGAAGGATTTATGCCTTCCGAGGGATCACGGCAGACTTGGTTTTCATGACCAGATCATGTGGCGGGGAGCTCTCCGTGCTCGCCTTGCTTGGGCAACCCTGAACGACTCGAATTCTCTCCTTCACAGAGTGATGCAAGCCAAGTATGGCCTTGACATGTGGAATAATTCCCGTATTCCTAAATTCTCTACCGCTTGGAAGATTATTAGAGAAGGTGCCGAAGCTTTGTCGACTGTAATCCGCTGGCGTGTGGGGAACGGCCGAGGTATCCATATCTTAAATGACTGCTGGATCCTTGATCGTAAGCTTGCTCGGTGGCCTACTTTTGTGAATATTGAGGAAGTGGAAAATGCGATGGTCAGTGACTTGCTGGATGGCAATCAGAACTGGGTTGCTGCTCGTGTGGAGCGTTTCTTCGGGAAGATCATGGCGGCCCGTATCTTGGATATTGATACTGTGTCTAGCGAGGGTCCGGACTTGCCTGAGCTCTCCCGAGCTTGCTTCGGCTCGTCCCTTTCTTCTATTATCTATCGGGAGAAATTCGTGCCTTCGGAGTACCAATTTGGCTGGCTGCTCAAATTGAAACTCCACCCGCGGGAGAAATTCCACTGGTTTAGATTACTTCAGAATGCCATTCCTACTAATGCGTGGCTCTCGCGCCGCGGATTGATGGCCAACTGTGATTGCCCCTGGGGCTGTAATGTGGAGGAAACTGTCGACCACTACACTACGCGTTGTTCCAAACTGCTTGAGGTTTTTGGCATTCTCGGCAAGTGGGGCTTCCTTGTCCCCACTTTCAGCTCGTTGGGTGATGTGTTGGAAATGATGCCTGTTTTGGCCGACACTAACCCGCTCTTGGCCATCATCTTCTGTTATTCTGTGTATCAAGTTTGGCGCGCTAGGAATGACCTGAAACACACTGGTCATCACCGCCCGGCATCCATTATGGCTGCCACTGTCCTTTCGCTGCTGCCTAAGCTTACCCGTAAGCCAATTCTGTTGCAATGGGGTATCCACCAGCCCTCGCGGCTGCCAACCTTACAATCTTGGTGCCCCCCCACCCCCCCTTCAGGTTGGCTTAAATTTAATGTGGATGCGACGGTTAAATTATCCTGCCAGGCGGGCATTGGTGTGGTTGTCCGGAATGCTGCTAGCGAGCTGATTTATGCGGCCGGCAGATGTTTTGAGCATTGGGATCCTTTTCAGGCTGAACTCTCGGCTGCCGCGGCTATTCGGGAGGTTCTACAAGGATGGATGCTTGACATGGAGGGAATTATTGTGGAAGGGGATTGCGCTAATGCTATAAAGTGGCTACAACAACTGAATGACCGGAACTTCAAAGGCCACTTCAACTTTACGGGGCCCGACTTGGATTTCTTTCTGGATTTCAAGCAGGTTATTTTTCAGCACATTCCCCCGGAGTGCAACAAACCTGCTGATTTTTGCGCCAATCTAGCCACGTTTGGCAATTTTGTTTATTCTGATGTAAATGTTATGGGGTTTCCCTTGTCCCTCTTGCAGTTACTAAGAGCGGATAACTTTAGTACTTAATTTTTGTACCTAGGTTTTTTCTGTTTAATGCTAATGCAACGTTTAGCTATCCTTCTCTCACTCACTCCGTCTCTCTCTCTCTATCTCTTTCCATTTCTCTATTTCTTCTCTCTCTCGCTCACAATCTTCTCTCTCTCTCTCTCTCTCTCTCACTCCTTCTCACTCTTTCCATTCCATTATTGTCTCTCTCTCTCTCTCTCTCTCTCTGACTCTCCCTCTCCCTGTCCATCTCCCTCCCTCTACCTCCCTCTCTCTCTCTCTCCCTCTCTCTCTCTCTCTCCCTCCACTCCCTCTCTCTCAACCCCCACTCTCTCTCCTCTCTCTCAATCTCTCTCTCTCTCTTTCTCTCTCTCTCTCTCTCACTCCATTCCTCCCAATGTCTTTCTCTCTCTCACTCCATCCCTCTCTCTCTCTCTCTCTCTCTCTCTCTCTCTCCATTCCTTTATTGATTCTCTCTCTCTCACACCATCCTCTCTCTCTCTCTCTCTCACTCCCTCTCACTCTTTCCATTCCTCTATTGCCTCTCTCTCTCTCTATAACTCCCCCCTCTATCTCTCACTCTCCCTCTCCCTCTCCAACTCCCTCTCTCTACCTCTCCCTCTCTCTCTCTCTCTTTCTCTCTCTCTCTCTCCCACTCACTTGCTGCCCCTTCACTCCCCCACTCTCTCTCCCTCTCTCACAATCTCTCTCTCTCTTTCTCTCTCTCTCTCACTCCATTCCTCCCACTCTCTCTCTCTCTAAATCTCTCTCTCTCTATCCTTCTCTCTCTCACTCCGTCCCTCTATCTCTCTCTCTCTCTCCCTCTCTCTCTCTTTCCATTCCTCTATTTCTTCTCTCTCTCTCTCACAATCTTCTCTCTCTCTCTTTCTCTCTCTCTCACTCCATCTCACTCTTTCCACTCCTCTATTGCCTCTCTCCCTCTCTCTCTCTCTCACCCTCTCTCTCTCTCTCTCGCCCTCTCTCTCTCCCTCTCTTTCTTACTTACTCCCTCTCACTCTTTACATTCCTCTCCTCTCTCTCTCTCTCTCCTCCGTTGCTCTATTGCTAATCTCTCCCTCCCTCTATCTCTCTATCTCTCAATCTCTCTCTCTCCATTCCTCTATTGCTTTCTATCTTTCCATCTCTTTCTATTTCTCTATGTTCTCTCTCTTTCCATTCCGTTATTATCTCTCTCTCTTTCTCTCCCTCTCATTTCTCTCTCCCTCTCTCTCTCCCTTGCTCAATCCCTCTCTCTATCTCTCTCTCCCCCTCACTCTCTCTCTCTCCCTCCCTCTCACTCTCTGTCTATCTCTCTATCTCCCGCTCTCTCTCCATAACTCTATTGCTTTGCTCT